CCATCTAACATTACCTTAGGAATCATCAGGAAGGCTCATACACTCTGTCCCACCAGTTGAGGGGATTAAATCAAAGCATGAGAATTGCTTCACAGTGTTACTTTGTGCAACTCTGCATACGTTATTTTCTTCTGCATGAGATCTTGTTCACCCTTAGTGTCCCCTGAGGAGCAGTAGGGGCAAGTGTGCTTATTTTTATCAAATAACAGAATAACTAATGGAAGAACAGGGAAAATGCAAGAGGATCAGACTGCTGCACCACACATCTGAATCAACTGTAAAGCCAAAGCATTCCTCCTGTTCCAAAGCCATCCTAAGCTCTGCCATGCTTTGTTTTCTCACTCTGTATCTCATCCTTATCCAAACATCAGTCCTCCTAAATGAAAAGGAACGGAAGAAGATTTTGCATATTTTTTCTCATCTTAAAACACATTGTGCAGTTCTTAGTGATTGCTAGAAAAATCACAGTTATCACAAAGAAAAATCAGTAAAGACTTTTAAAAGTCATTTTAAAGCTAGCAATCTGTTAAAAAAACCTAAAAGAATGTTTTTCAAACAGTTGGCACCATCTGTTTAATAAAACAAAAAAAAAGTAAAAAAATGACTGTAGTTAGCATAAGGTTTGCTTGACTCAGCAGACTAGCATTAAGTTAAAAACCCATCAATTTATATTTCAATAAGATATGAATTATCTGGATTTTGTCAGAGTGAAATAGACTGTGTTGTGGTAACGTGTAACTACATTTGATAACATTCTTTAGTGCATTTTTCATTATTTCTCAACATCTCACAGGTACTCAAAAATACTTCGCCACAAACCACATTTAATTCCCAAAATTCTGTGGTGAAAGCCAAGTAAACACATTACCAACTGGGCATCTGCTTACCCAAGACCAACACATGGCATTTATAATTTTGCCAGTTCCGTTACTAACATATCCAAGCAGATGCCAAAGGAAGTCATCCAAAGACTTTTCAGGCGATGGGAATGAATTGGCCTTATTCAGAAGCAAAGCATTAAAATCACCTCATGGATGACACTAACACAAAAACATGGTGCTAAGCTTTACAATGCATAGGAGGGGTAAAAAGAAATGTTAAGGCAATAATACAGATGCTCAGAACTAGAAATAGCAACCTCTTCTATGCATTGTCAGCTGTTATCAGCTTCTCTTGCCCAAGTGCATAATACACACTTTCAGTGACAAAACAGCTGGGTGCCACCGGTCCCTCTTCTCTCAGCAACCGAACTATTGAGCTCACTGGCAACAAGTGCATCCTGTAAAGGCTATTTGATCTATCAGATTATTTTAGTTTTGTTATTATAATCATGAAAACTCAACCATTGACCAAGCCAGATCACTTTCCCAAAGACATGCTCACAGCGTATACTGTCATGTCCGGCAAGATTCAGAAAGGGTAACGAAAACCTAGAATATCTGGGAAAACAGGAGAACCTGGATAATACAGATAGCATAGATGTGCTTGAGGAATATTGTGCAGACACATCCATGTTGATCTGCAATCCCGCAAGGTCCAAAATCATGATGTTGGCACTGCACTGAAGTAAGCCTTATGTAACTCACCATACTGGAGATCGCAGTTCAGCCTGTTTCACGCACAGCCAGTTTACGACCATCAGGTCCAGCACTAAATCTGAGGTAATGTGCCTAAGCAGACCTGTGGCGACACCATCCTGCTCAGAATGCCAAATCCAGGAAAGCCTTCTTTGTTCAAGCTCAGTGCTGCAGGAATGTTTCGGGACCCCAGCTAGTCCTGGCAACAGCTTACATGCCACTACACCTAAGCTAGTCAACCATACCGACTGTAAGTTAGCTAATCAGGCTTGCTAGAACTGACTACACATATATGGCCTGACTTGCCCACTAAACTAACCAGGTAAAGCCCTCGGGGGGCGGGCAGAGGGGAGATCACTAGACTGTAAGCAACATTTTATTTTAATCTTTCAGATTTCATGCTTGATTACATTAGCCATGGCTAGTAGTTCCTGCAGCCTTTCGTTCCTATCCCTAAGAGTATCAACAAAGTGCTCGTAATATAATGCAACTATAGGGAATTCATGTATTGCACCAACATAGTAAACATTCCACAAATTCAATAAATTATACCAGTAAGTAGATGCTGGAAGTCTGTATTAAACCAGTCAGGACTGTGAGGGATGTCATCCCCTGGATGTAAATATGAAGACAGAAAACCGTGATGTAAAACTACCCCATTGTAAAACTCGGCTGATTGTGCTGACCCATGGCATCGACTACTGATGTTGTCTGCTCCAGCCCTCTAACTGAATGCTTACCAAGGCAAACAAACAAAAAATACTGAACTTTGTTGTACGTCCCGATACTGCCCACTGGTCTGACCCTACAGACGCGAAGGAGTAATGAAAAAGGCTACCCATCAAAAGGACACTACAGTCTGTCTGGAGGTGATGGCATATTTTCAGAAAGAGCAGGGTTCAATTTTACTGCCAGTGGGGCACTTTCAAGTAGGTGGGAGAAGCCTTTGAGGTCAGGCTTTATTAATGTGTGAACAAAGACTAGCCCCCACATCATGCCCACTGCATTCCGACAATGCATTTTTCTTGTTTTCCTTTGAGATTGCTAGCACACAAAACCCAACTCATTCTCTCCTCTGTAATTTAATTTGTCTTTTTTTTTTTTTTTTTGGACATATTTGCCATTTGAAAGAATCATATTTAAAGTGTCAGAGAATTTACAGATTAGCAATGCAACATGGAAGAGAAGATCTCTAGAAAAAGAAAGGGAGAAAACATTCATGAGTATTTGACAGCTGAATAAGTCATGTCACTGAAGTTTGTACCAAGCATAATTTCAAATATCTCTTCTCATTTCACTTTATTTTTTAAAGAAATGCCTGATAATGCATCAAAATAGCTTAAAATAAAAAGAAAAAGAAAAAAATAAAGACTTAATTTTAGCTCTAAAGGAACTTCCAATGAAAAACAGCAATGGAGGCACTTTATTGTGGTACTTTTCTCAATGATTCCATAATAACTTTGGAAAAGAAGTACTCTGTACATATAAAATAGATGAAAAAGCTGTGAAAAAAAAAATATAATACACAAACTTTTCCCTTTGACTCCTGGTGATAACATTCTGTCTTCTATGCAGGTGCTGCCTATATGGGATCACAGTAAGTCAAGTACATTTGACCTACCAAGCTTAACATGAGTGTAAGTGAATCTCAAAGACAGGAATGCAGGACGTATGATGCTGCAGCCCTGATTGATAACTAAGAAGTCAGTTATAAATAAATCTGGAACAGTTGGGATTGACTGTTGTTTAGCACTTTCAGACAAACATTCAGGGCAACTGGCAGGGGCTTTGAAAGCTGTTTCCTACATTAGAATCATGACAAAAATAGAAGTGAGGCTGCATTCCCTTGTCTTCTGCTAAAATAGATCTTACTCAAAAACATTTTTGCAAGTTTGGCAAGGCGTAACTAGTCCACTGTCAAATACAGAACAAAATCATAATTGGAAGTCCCATGTTGATCTACCATGAATAGTTACTTATTGAATTAATAAGAACAAAAAACAACAACAACAAAAAAAAAAAGAAATTGAGAGGACTGGGAGATATTAGGGACAAAGAGAAGCTGGTTTTACTACTTTTTTTTTTTTTTTAACTTGTATGTGAATGTACAATCAGAATTCGCTAGCCAGAAAGACCCTAAAGACTTTTTAAAACAAAATTAAAAGGAAAAATCATATATTTTACTAACTGCCCTTAGGAACACATGGATTTTTTTAGAGTTTCGGGGTGTTCTGTTGCTGGTTTTGGGTTTTTTGTTTGTTTTGGGTTTTTTAAATTCAAGAACAGATGTTGCATAATAAGTACTGACAGCAAGGCTGAGTTGTGAGAATGGAACAGGAAAGAGGGAGCATGTATGGGGTTTTTGTCCTGTTTTTAAATGCCACAAATACTGTTTACAGGGCAAGCATTTGTCATGGAGTTATCTTGCCTCTGACACTTAAGTTTCCAGATAAATTGAATTGGCTTTTATTTGTGTCTTTTTTTATAGTCAAAATATATCCATCTAAACATTGTAGGATTAGCTGGTTCACTAACTGAAGAGCCCATTTTTCTGCCAAAATAATCAATGGCCTTAATGAGCAATTAAAAGCTGTCAGGGTCAGTAAGAACAGAAAATCTTAACATATAGATCAGAAATTCTGTGTATAACTTCACGCTACTGTTTCAGATCATGAGAGAACTCAAGAGGCACACGTGACTGAGAATAGGATGTATATAGTATAATACAAACTCACAGGAGAGACAAGGAGAGCAGTTACGTGGTTTAGCCAAGTAACGCCCAAACAGGTTTCCCATAAACTGTTCTTTCTCGACCAAAATGTGTCTGCATAGTGCTTTGCTGACAGATAGGAAATCGCCCCACCTGCACGCACACCCTGAACCAAATCAGCTCCAGCCTAGAAGCTCTATGACCGTGGTGCATGATGCCAGCCTGCCCTCACTTTGCTGAGCTCATTGCTGCAGTTCAGCATCCAATACACCCCAATGCAGACCTTGTGGTTCTGAGCAGGATCACAGCTGCTTGGGTCAGAACATACAAAGCAGACTCGTGCTTCTCTACAAAATACTGTGTACCCAATCCACCAGTGACTTTCAGCTAGTATTCCTATAGTTTCTACAATAGGCAAATGGCAACAGAATCAGCACTAGGAAATTTCTGCAACTTGCCTTCTAAAGTAAGCCTAGTATAAATGAGGGCATGATTCAAGGACTCCAGCTTACTGAAGAATTACACACACAGGACCACATTTCAGTCACTGAACTGTGTTTTTTCCATTGTGACAACTGCTGTAAATATGCATGTTGAAAGAGATTATTTGTCATGAAGAGTAAAATCTTTTCTTTGTAATGGATTGCCACATTGCAGACGTAGTTTTCTTTTTTATCAGAACAGCCTGCATAAATGTATTTTAAACTAATTACCTTTAGGTGGAAAATATGACTTGCTTTCAGCTTTGTGAGGCCAGTCCACCACAAGAGGTCCAAACCTACGAAAGCTGGCAGTGATCTCATCTACAAAAAACAAATGAGGCACCTTAGAAAGAATCTGAAGACTGACAGTAGCAAGGTAAAAATTTTTAGTTTTAAAAAAAAAAAAAAAAAAGACTATTTTCTACACTTCTTAAGAACAGTGAAAACTGCAATAATGTACATAGAGGATGCCTAAATATTCTTTCACCTCTGTGCTATACATGGTGCTTAAAAAAGTACCTTTACATTCCACCAATGCAAGTTTGCAGCAGGATTAAATCCAAACATGATCTTTCAGAAGTGAATATGCCTCAGCTGCAGTCTATTTCTAATTATAGCCACAAAGCAGGGTCAGATGCAGGCACATGGGACTGACGGAGGAGCTACATGTCAGCATGGCCACTCCTTGTAGCATGCCCTAGAAAGCAGGCTGCAGCAGGTCATGTGACTGGGGGGATTTCACCTTCCTCAGTCCCCTCTGGAAATCTGCTTTGAGTTACCAAGTTATTTCTTTGCTTTTTGAGCATCAATTTAGAAACACCTTGGGACACACATCTCAAACTATCCAATAGTACAATTTTGGTTTACATGCAAATGCTTCAGAAAAAAAGTATTTTCTTTAAAAAAAATAATATTTTCCCTCAATGCATTTATTTATGTACTTTAAAGTACATTTATGTACTTTAAATTGTGTCCAATGTGATGCTAGATAGATGAGAGCAACAATCTATCAGGAGAAAAGTTTGAAGAGAAAGGCAATGGTTTCCAATTTTCTGGTTGCTGTTTGCGATGTGTCCGGTTTACCTGACCCCATGACCTGTACATCTGATTTTTCAAGCAGCTAGAGCCAAAAAAACCATACTGTGTAACTCAGGAGCTGAAGGAAAAAGGTGTTACTGGAGTAGACCTCTCATGGAAGAGGGTAACAGCTCCCAAGTGGCCATGTTGCTTCCTTGCAGGATAGGCTGGGCATATTTTTTGATTCAGAGTGACCCAGCAAAGTTCACATCAGTTGTACCTGTTGGCCTGCTTCTTATAGCTGGGGATTCAGATCACCCAACAGTCCCTGTATCAACAGTCCAGCAACTCATGATGTGACGTGGGAACTGCATTTGATCTGTCTGTAAACCATAGACTGGCAACTCATAATATTTCTTTATTAAAATTGCACACAGTTTAGGCTTCAAGTTAGGAGATCATATTTGGAGATCCCTCTCTTTTCATTGTAAGGCATCCTCAAATTCTCTTTGTATGCCAACTGAAGCTAGATAGTGGTGGATTCCAGCTAGAATACGAAAAATATTTTTCGTTTGGGAGTCTGGGCATACGCAAGCAGAGCAGATACTGATTGAGAAAAAACCTGACCATCTCTACTAAGCTGATTGATTGTTACTTTGTAACCATATTAATTGCCCTACATTTGTCAACTGAACACTGCATATATGCTGGATATAAGAGCTGATTAATTAAAGGCAGATTTATTTTGGTAAGGATTGTATTAACAAAGTCCTTAAAGTCAACCACATCTTTTAAAAGGAACAGAGAAAGACTATGGAGGAGTGACAGTACCCACTAAGTTCCCTTTTTCAGCTTTCCCACTTTACATACGTGGGAACACATGCTGCTATTACAGATTAGAAGACCTGCTATGCAGGCATTTCTGTCTCCATCTCTTCTGATCTACAGTACAAAAGAATGTTAAGTAAATTATCAAGTGTTGTGGGGGGTGGTGGTGTTTGTTTGTTTTAAATATAGCAGGAGCACTACAAGCAACATACCTGGGAAAATACATTCAGTTTTAGGAAAATCTGATCTTTTTAAAGTAATTATATGAAAGCCAATTCCCACATCTCACCAATGTAACTTATTCACAGTACCTTCATCAATGTCAGGAGGAAGACCTCCAACAAACACCTTTCTAGAATAGCGTTCCACTCTTTCACCATTCTGACAGCGTGTTGGAGAGCTGAGACCCGATGATAAAGACTGATCACCATGTGTGTCGTCTAGGAAGCCATCTTCAAAAGGAAATAGTGAAGACCGACCTGTAACAGATTTTGTAGTATCTATAGTTAACGCTATTTCCTGAAAAATTAATATTTCAGTAAAAAACATTGTATCTTCCTTTTACTGTTTTGCTTTAACAGAATTTCCATTAAAGGGACCAGCTAAGTGGTCCAGTTATCCAAATGATGTTCATTAGTATTGCTTCTATTTTTTCCAAGATTGTATTATCCTTACAAGACCACAAACCTAATTTGGCTTTAAAACAAACCCTTTCAAATGGCTAACAATGAAAACCAACAAGTTATCTGCTGAAATCGTGTGTCATAGCTATAGAAAGAACCTTTGGAAGACATAAATTTCAACTGATTCTTAGCGATTTAAATCTTCCATAACAGATCTTGAAGGAATGGCCTAAAGAGCAGATCCCTCAAGCCACTGCACTGCAGAGCAGGACAGTCTCCTTCAGAGTGCTTTACAGGGTCCTAACCGCAAGGGCTGCATCGCTTCCTCCTCAAGTGAACAGAGGCCCAGTCTGAGCAGTGGGGCAAACAGCAAAATAAACATAGAAAAGCTTTGTATTGCAGATGTTAAACATGTAGGTGAAGCAAGAAGCTTACGTAACAAGAAAAAACAAATAAATCTTTAAAATCTTATTTAAGTAAGTCACAAAAAAATTGCCCTTGAGGAAAAAAGTTGTTAGCAAGCACAGCCTGTCATGCTGTTACTTGGGAGTTAAAACGCTCTTCAGTAATGAATTAACAAAAAGCAACATAAATGGCTGCTATTCAGTTTGTTAATGAAAAGTAAAGAATTTGTGATCATTTGATGCCACTGACTTGTTGCTATTACTGCCGAAGTATACACACATTATCTTAAAAACAGATTTATTAACCCAGAAGATGAAGAAATACTCAAAGTCTGTATGTAAGCAGCACTGTAGAACATGCCAACTTTAGAATTTAATAATTCCCTATATCTGAGCTGAAAAATAAATCCTGCAATGTAGAGAGATGTATAAATGGGAGCCCTATCTCAACTCTGAGGAGGCTAATTGTCCCCTCATATCATGGAGGATTGCTCCCAGGGATGGAATTATAATTAATTGATACAAACAGTTTATAGGGGGTTAATTAAAAATACAAATAGCAGGGCACATAATTAAATTCAAAGGTAATGGATCACATGAAACTGACTTCCAGCAAGACCTAAGGAAGGATTAACACCACACTGGTATTAACAACACAGGGAAGTACAGGAAATAAAAACAGGGACAAGGAGAAAAATCAAGACATGCAGAGGGACACTATTCAGAAAAATGTGTACACTGGAAATATCAGTAATAGTGTCTCCAGTAGTAAAGGACAGATTACAAAAAGAAGCAGCAATCCTATATATGGAAAACAAGCTAATGAACAAGAACCAGGAAAGATGTTCCGACTGACACAGGGCACCAGCCTGATTTTTTTATGAACACCAGGCATTAGAAAAGTCTTGATTAGAAAGAATATATTGAATGCAACAAACAACATTGACAGAGATCACAGATGCAAAAATTCTACGGTGCTTTTAAGCACAAACATAAAAAACAAGGTAAATGCCACAATCAGAGAAGGATTTAGAGATACTATATAACTGGTTGTCAGAAATGGTGGGTTTAGAGAATAAGACAGGAAAGACTATTGATGAATACTCCGGTAATGGTTTAACGGGTCATGCGCATATATAAACATATGCATTTCAGCATACAAGAGAACACATGCATGAGCGAAATAATAATTAGGAAGGCTAAAATTGTGTAAAAATATCAAATCAGAAAACCCACTGAAAAGTAGGAAATCTGAAAATATCCATAAGAGGCTGCCATTACTAAGAAGCTAAATAATCTTTTAGTTCCCACCCCCCAACCTACTTTCTTGTAAAAATGAGAAAAAACATGAGCTGTTAGTGGAAGTTGACACACCAAATTAATAGACACTAGAATGAGGTGATCAACTAAAATACAGGTCTACAGAGGAGGCTGAATAAGTGCTGATTCCTGAAGGAAATAATAGGAATGCACAGCAGCTTAAAAAGCAAGGTATCACCTCTTATGCCAGATGCTTGACAGTCTGCAAGCATTGAACTCAAGTAAATGCAAAAGATGATCTAAAACTTTATAGCTAAGTCAAGTATAGAGTTAAATATATGACGTATACATTTAAAATAATGCAAAGCATACAGACAAGGGAATAGGGAATGGCTGTTCACTGTCTCTTCCAATAAGGGGAAACTAAAGTGCATTGAACAAAATCAGTACATGGCAAGTCAAACTGGGAACCCCTTGCCACAGGCTTTTTAGGAGGCTGAAAAGTTTATGTAGGTCCAGAAAAGGGAATGAGCGAGAACAGGAGAAAAACCCATTCTGAAGCAATAAATATTGAGACATCACTTCAAGAAACCCCCAGAGGCAAAGCTCTGGGAGAGTATCATGGGAAAGCATCATTAAATGCCCTATTTTTATATTCCTGCGTCCCTCCCCTGGCATCTGAGTTGTCAGTGTAGCAGAATAGATTTTGGGCTGATTTCCCATAGCTGTGCTTGCATCTGTACCTGAAAAACTGGTTGCAAAAGTTAAAAACAAGGTACCTAAAAGGACATGACTCAACAGCTCTAAGCATGACACCTACAAAGAAATGCTTGCCTCTTTACTCAAAGAAAATAGAGGATCAAGCAGAGAGCTTCTTGCTGAAGATGCTTAGTCACAGTGACAGAATCAAACACTAATTAAAATTTCCAAGTATCATAACATGAAATGAGTCCCTGCACAGATTCACCTCTGGGTACTCTACATATTGCCTCAATGCAAATGGTAAAAACAATAATAGAGAGGGATATATGAGAACACTTGACAAACAACACATCATTTCTTAACAGACTATTGTAGAATTTCATGTTTCTTAAGGTTAAGAAAGCTTAAAACAATATTATAAAATTCAAGGTAATGAAAGAGCATGAATATTACAAACTTTAATATTGTACGACAAACTTTAATATTGTATGAATAAGGCAAGTCACAAAATCCCTAACATTAATGACAAGACACACGCACACACACTCAAATCTACTTGTTACTACAGAAAAGGCTTAATTTCACATAAGAAACAACTATTATGGAGTGAAACATGCTTTTTGGTAGAGTAAAAGAAAAAATTCTGAAAGTCCAGCACATTCAGAATTTGTTTGCCCTGTTTGGTCATCACTGTAATTTGTATAAAACAGCCTACACTGTGCTCATCACAGTTACTGCCACATTACTATATTTTGCTTCTACAAGTAAACATGAGTTGCGAGAAGTTAATAGTGTCCAACCGATTCCCACCTCCTTCCCTACTTTGGTGCCATTTGATCAACCTGGAAACACTTGCCACAATCATAACATGAAATTAAACAGTGTTCATGTGCACAGAGAGTATACAATATTATATACTCTGCATACTCTCCAATTTGTTTCAGTACCTTGAGAGCACCAAAAAAAGTGTAAGTATTAGGATGCTTTCAATATCTTAACAATAGCCTGTTTTCTAGAAGCGGGGAAAAATAGGAAGGTAAGCTTGTGGGGAAAACTTAAATCTTCTCTTTTTGTTTTAGCTATCAAATAAACACTAAAACCAGTCAGCTTTGAACAAAATCAGCTCAAATTCTGTATTATAAATTCTGTTAGTACAGCCTACTACTTCAATCCATACATATGGGCAAACTGCAAGTTACTTAGATGCTATAGGCCTGCTGGTGTGGCTAGGTTTGTCTCCAAGCTTCTTCACAAACAATGCAAATCCTACATTTTGCAAAGGAAGTGGTGTCACATGCATAGCTGTCACAGAACACACATGAAAAAGAAGATAAAATGAAGTTTAATGCCAAGGTACCCCAAGCAGATGGCACTGCCCAGCTCTAAATGTTAAAAGCTGCAATCTTCACTGTTATTTTCTCAATAAAAAACAGCCTGTGTAAGCTACTGCACAGTACGTAAGTGTAAGGTACATTAATAGCTTTCTTGGTAGTCAGTGAGCTTGCTATTTTGTTCCTTAACCCCTCAGAATAAACTTAGATGCAGCACTGTACATCTGTAAAATGTTTTCAGTCTGCTTTTATTTTTTAAGGGTTGCCTATGATGAAATAAAGTTAAAATGTGCTCAAATGTATCTTTTTTTGTTATTATTATTAATTTTCACTGTGGAGGACAGTTACTAGTATTGCTATTCACAGTGTTCTAACCTAAGGCAATGTAATTCTCCAGTGTAATATTCAATGAAAGGTGCTTCATCTAAGAAAAAAGTATTTTTTAAGTGTTCAACGCACTAGTTAAACACTCCAGTTCTACCAAAAAAAACCCCCAACCCCCTGAAAACAATTTTATTTGAACACTACTCATCTAAAGTCCTGAATACGTGTCATGAAAGTCTTTACATTCAGTCATTCTCCAGTTCACTGGTAATAGCAACACACTTGAGGTTATCAGCTCAAGAACATAATTGCTTTAAGCTGCTATTAAAAGGGCGATGTTTTGCAAAAGAATATGAGATTGATTTATAGGAAGCAATTGATCAATCAAATAATGTTAAAATTGGTAACATCATCTTACAAGAGAACTAAATACTTATCTCTCCCACTATTCAGCAAACAAAACATTTAGTAAATACTTTTACCTCTTCTCCGCCCATAGCTCCTGGCTGCATGTAAACACAGAAGAAAATTGTCGGTACAGCTGTCATTAGATTTAGCTCCAAAAGCAAAGAAAACGTAGCTTCTACTTCTTCTCTTTTTCCCCTCCCACCATAAAGAAGGAAAAGACATTCAAAAAGTACAAGATGAAATTCAAACAACCCAAGACAAGAGAAAAAGTTTGAAGATGACACAGCCAGCAGGGGGGGGAAAAAAAAGAAAAAAAAAAAAAGGAACATACCTGCTGTGCAAGTTTTCTACATAGCAAAGGTATTAAAAAAATCAGGCATATCAGATTTACAGTACTATAAAATAATAATTTAGGATTATGGTTTTA